TACTTGCTTCCTGTTTTGACCCAGTTTATTTTCGTGGGATTTCTGAGCCCATGGTTTCGTCCTAGGACCTCTCTTAAAGTAGCTGCATGACTAAAACGGTATTTAGCTAAGATCGAGTAAAGCATAAAAATCCCTGTCGGATTTCTTAGGCATGGTGTAAATGTACACTATTTATCAAAATAAATAGGCTACTTCACTCATAACACAGAAGGGAACAAAATACTAGTCCAGGCACCTGGGGCAAGCAGATTCCTATTTTCTTCGCTCGCTCTTTTGGCTGACCCCATTCATGGTCACCACAGCGTATGCATTAGCCGTATGCATTTTTTTATTCTGGCACAAGTTTTACACCGAATGCCTTTCCTGACGCAACCCTCCCCATATACCAGGCTTGGGACTGGAACTGAGAATGCACCGGCTCATGCAACCTTCCAATGATTGGGAATCAAACCCGGGGCGCGGCGCCGCATTCTAGCCACTAGTCCACCAGGGAACCGAAACATTCTGGTATAAAAACATTAAACTTAATTCGCTTTATAGAAGAAAGACACTTCGATGCTGTAACCAGTACCTGCTGCACTATACATCATCCAAGGAGCAATTCGGGTTCACCGAACGACGACTACGCAGATGTATTAATGTACAAAGATGATAATTTCTGTCACTCTTCCCTCTCGGTATGTGACGTGCTTCCCAGCACTACTCTCGTCTCTTGTTTCACGCACACTCCATGTGCTTTTTGTTTACACAGCCGTGCGCCTTTGTTTTGGTCCTTTCTCCAGCCCTGTCAGGCTTTGTTTTGTTACCTAATGTGTGCACCTGTTCTGTGTTTAGTCTTTAAATAATTTGTCTATTTCTATCAGCCTTTACCTAAGTCTTTTCATGGCTTTCTGTCTCACAAAGTCCAAACCTTTCTGGTTTTGACTTCGCTTGTTTTATCCTGGTTTGTTGTTCTGACCCCCGCAATCAACTTTATGGATTGCCCTAAATAACGGACACACTGCTTTTATGCACTTGTGTCCCTGTCTCATATAACTGCATTAAAAAAGAAAAAAGAAAAAGACTAACACACAAGTCACCTTGCGGTTAAACATATAGCAAGCAAATAAAGATTCTAGGCATGGAAGTATAACAACAGACAACTCAGTCGTGGCCTCTAAACGTGAATCTGACAGTTGACCTTTCCTTATGCGAATAATTAACATTCAACAGAACGGCAAAATCAAAACTAGACAAATATTAGATTCATTGAATTTACTGCCATCATAGAGATGACGGATTAGCTGATACATAAACACTATGTCCTGGAGGTTCTCACACATCCGCAGAACCGTACAAGAAGACAAGAAACACATTTGTTGTAAGTTCTGCCATCCTGCCAGTCACACTTACTACTAAATATATTTAAATAAATCATATGCGAAGCCTTTTTTGTGAAATCTAATTGCATTTGACTGTGAAAATCTCTCTGTCCTGAGCAATATGGCTTTTAAAGGAAATAAAAGGAGCTCATTTGAATGGATGTCTAACCACATGTCTTCAGAATACATTTATTCAAATGAATGCCTGTGCAGATAGTCCTGAATACTCAGAACATATATAACGCCAGTATTTTGGTTTGCATTATGATCACAAAAATAACGACAAGGACAATATTCTTTTAGAAACTTCAAGAAATCTGAGAGCTGAAGGTAATATAATGGTTAATGAAGTAAATTCCAACATTGGGGAATGAGCTGAAAGTTGACAGACACTGAATACAATTTGCTTTATGACTAAGGAGGGAACTGTGTAAAAAAAAAAAAAAAACCCTAAAACCTCAAGTAAAAACAAGTATCATCCAAAGATATGGTCGTGACCAGACTGACAGTGCCTTGTACCAGTTTGCCATGTTCAAAATGATAACGCTGCGGTTCACCAGGTGGTGCTATACAGTATGTACACTGAGAATGTGTCTGCCTTCAGACAATATCTGATAAGAGAAGATCAGCCTGCTGGGGACTAGTGATGGCTTCATGCCAAGTTCTCGTCCTCTTTAAGGCCTGAGAGGTCTTACAACGCCACATTGAATTCTGTAATGAGGAAGTCAATGTAGTCCTTCTCTTTGGTCTTGAAGGCCTCAGCGATGAGGCAGGCTGCGTCTCGATGCTCTCGTCCTCTCAGAGAGATCCCATTCACCTCCAGAATGACCTGGCCCACCTTCAGCTTCCCGCAGTTATGAGCAGAGCCTCCTCTCTGAAAGGGAGAGAGAATTATTTTACATGAACACAAAAGCTACCGATGATTAGCATGAAAATGTGCAGGCATACGGGAAGACGAGCGGTGATAGAAAAGGAGGTTTGAGGATTAAAAATGGAAATCAGTATAGCCAGATGAAACCACCTGATGAAACCTTGTGACTTGGGACAAAACAAAAATGGTAAAAAAAAGAAAACACAAAGCCTCCGGCTCTATCTTCTCCGCAGCTGCTGTTTTTGGATCGCCCCATTTCCAATGCTGATGAACCGCCCATAGCCAAGGAATTAAAATCTACTCCTGGCTGCCTGGCTATCTGTAACCTCCTCTCGAGCATCTCGCCCTCTCTTTCCGCCTCCCTCGCTTCATTAAAAGCTCTTTCCGTCTGCCCGTCTCTCCATTGAGCCTTTTATTCAATGTATTCATTTGTAGCCAAGCCAGCCATAATGAGAACTTTTTTATTGCACATTAGGCTCTGACAGCTCCAGCTTTCTCTCCAGCTCATGATACATGCAATCACCGCACAGAACGAAGCCCTGCTGCTGATCGCCATATGCTTGCACACTATCATCGCTAAAGACACACCACCTCTCACCCAGTAAGCTCAGTTAGACTTATATAATCATGCTTGTAGTCAATATAGATTTATGATACACAGTGGTGCTTGAAAGTTAGTGCACCTGTTAGATCTTTATATATATTCAGCCAAGAACAGGAATCTGAGGCTACAATGGGCACAGACTCAATGAAACTCTAGCGCTGAAGATACCGCCTAGTCAAATGAATATCGACTTCTGCTGCAACATGCAGAATTTAGGTAGGGTCAGAATTTGGTGCAGGAATTCATGGATCCAAACTGCCCTGTGTCAAAATTTCAGGCTGGTCTTGGTGGTGTAATGGTGTTTGGAATGTTTTCTTAGCACACACTGGCCTCTTAATACCAATCAAGCATCTTTTGAAGTATCTGAGTACTGTTGCTGACCATGTTCTTCCTTTTAGGCCACAATTTACACATATTAAAATTGCCAAATCCAGCACGAGGTCAGAAAGCACAAGTTACCTCAAATTGACTGCGTGAACAAGGATTCAATGGCATTGACAAGTCACCATATCTGAATTCAGTAGAGCACCTTCCGGATGTGACAGAACGGAAGATTCGCAGAACGCATGTTCAGCTGCCAAATCTGCAGCAGTTATGTGATGCAATCCTGTTGACATGGACCAGGATCTCAATGGTGTTTCAAACACCTTGTGGAATCCACACCATGAAGATTCGAGGCTATTCTTAGAGCAAAGTGGGTTCTACCCAGTCTTAGTGTTGTTGTCCTAATAAAGTGGCAAATGAGTGTGTATGCAATATTGAATCCTCTGCAGTAATGCCAATGGAAATGACTGCAATGTGTCATAATACATCCCCACACCATATCTCTGCCAAAGTACACTTTAATTAAAATCTATTCTTAACATGAAGTCCTCAGTGACCTGTTTGTTCAGTTCATCTAATAAAGTGAAGAAACCAAAACAAAAAACAAAAACCAAAACAACAAAGCAAGACAAAAAACTAGCATGAAACTATGTATGAACTATTGTTATGGCTTTGTTTACAGTGTACCACCGTGTGTCAAAATACTGTGTTTATCCTGGGTTAAAGACAGCCATACTGCCAATTTCATGACACTTGTTATACCCACCATATTTTTTTGCTAATCATGAATCATTAGCACAGAAGGCAGCAATCTAACTCGCAGCTAACAGCCAAGCAGCATATCGTCAAATCTGTCGTCAAAGGCAACAGGTCTATTAAAGCTTGTGACTCTACCTGCCAGCTTATTGATAAAAGTAAACTAACTCAATAAACGGAGCAAAACTATTCCAATCCTCTGTATTATTATTTCTCATTTATTAATCATATTGTAGACTTGTAAAGAACATCACTGTTAGTGGCATTTTGTTTGCAGCTAATTAACATTTTCGTTTACAGGCAGAACAGAGCTGCTTTACGCTCAATTAAATCTTTTTATAAGTGACATGTCTTTAAAAACCTTTTAAAAACCTTCTTTTCATAGACTCTGAACGCTACTGACATTGGAAATATGAAGTGGCTCCAGCTTGTTGAGGCATTAGTTTTTTGTTTTTTTTTTTTTTACAAGCATTTACAAGCACAACTTAATTGAACATAAAAGAAAACAAACCAGAAAAAAGCTTAAATTTGTTATATTTTTATTGTAATACATATTACTGGCCAGTCACAGTGGAGGTGCAAGGCCGGCTCAGATGCTTGGGAAAACAACTTTTCTGAACTGAAAGTGCTTTTTGAATGGAAGTATAAGTGGACCTTCATTGTCTGTCCATACCCCATGTGGTTCTTTTGTCTCTATTTCACCGAGTCAAGCGGCCCTTGCCATTCTCATTAGGCCTACTCATTAGGCCATTATGTGACCGACGGCAGGCAGCTCATAATTGAACTTCTATATTCTGCCTTTCAAATTCTTTAGGAGTTTAGGAGGCATAGCAGCTTTTTAAAATGCCATAATCTGCTGCCACGCTTTCCAGCGGCCCAGCCTGGAAACTCAAAGAAGAACTGATTGCAAAGGAACAATGAATCCTGAAATGTACTTTTATGTGTCTTGAGTGGGAAGAAGAAAGCTATTGTAACTAAAATAGATAAAACTAGCACTGAAGTTCTTATACAAGTTTCTCACAGGATCCATTTCTCATATGTAAAACTGTCAATGTTTTAAGTAAGGCTATAAAGTTCGTGGGGGGCATGGTGGTATAGCGGTTAGCGCATTTGCCTTGTGCCTCCTGGGTCGGAGGTTCGATTCCTCCCCACTGTGTGCACGGAGTTCTTCCCGTGATAGGGGAGTTTTCTCCGGGTACTCCAGTTTCCTTCCCCAGTCCAAAGACATGCATGGGGTTGGCACACCATCCAGGGTGTCCCCAACCTCGTGCTATGAGTCCCTCGTGCTATGATAGGCTCAAGGCTCCCTGTGATATATATAGATGGATAAGCAGTACAGAAAATGGATGGGCTATAAAGTTTGTGGACACCTGGCCATCACACCCATATGAGGGTCTTCCCCAAACTCTTTCCCAACCTTCACCAACAGAATTGTCTAGAACACCTGTGCATGCTGGAACTAAGGGGCCCGAACATGTTCCAGCATGACAATGCCCCTGTACACCAAGCAAGGTCCATGAAGACATGGCTTGCCAAGATTGGAGTGGAAGAACTCGATTGGCACAGACTTCACAGAACACCTTTAGGATGAATTGGAATGCTGATTACTGTACTTGCCAGGCCTTCTCACCCAACATCAGTGCCTGACCTCACTGATGTTGTGAATGAACACAAATCTCACAGCCATGCTCCAAAATCTATTAGATAGCCTTCCCAGAAGAGTGGAGTTTTTTGTCTACTGGTTGAAAAACAAAACAGATGAAAGTGTTTACAAGAGTAAACAGTTTCTTGAGCATCCTTTTTTATTAGCTATTATTTGTAATTACACCAGAGCTCTGTCTGTTTCAATTATCCATTCTGTGTGGCGAGAAGGTTAAATGAATTTAATGGCTTTTACAACAGTACCAGCTGCAGGGCAATTCAGGTACAGTGGCGCTTGTAAGTTTTTGAACCCTTTAGAAATGTCTACATATCTGCATAAATAAGCCCTAAACCTCATCAAAAATGTTCTGTTCAATCGTAGACAAACTGCTTTGGTCAAGAGTTTTGTAAGGAGAAAGTTTATGGAAGGACAATCTAGGACAATGCTAAAGGAATAGAGACAAGAATGTGTTCACGCTTTTGAGAGTGTAAAATAAGAAACAGAGATGACTGATTATATCTGCTAATATCTGATAAAAGCCTCTACTCTCATCCAAAAACAAACTCGAGCGTCTTCAGTTTGCCAGACACTACTGGAACTTCAAACGGGATCGGGTTCTATGGTCAGATGAAACCAAAATAGAGCTTTTTGGTAATAAACACCAGAGATGGTTTGGAGCACACAGAGAGGTAGCCATATGGAAAAGTACAGTGGTGTGAAAAAGTGTTTGCCCCCTTCCTCATTTCCTGTTCCTTTGCATGTTTGTCACACTTAAGTGTTTCGGAACATCAAACCAATTTAAACAATAGTCAAGGACAACACAAGTAAACACAAAATGCAATTTGTAAATGAAGGTGTTTATTATTAAAGGTGAAAAAAATCCAAACCATCATGGCCCTGTGTGAAAAAGTGATTGGCCCCTCAAACCTAATAACTGGTTGGGCCACCCTTAGCAGCAACAACTGCAACCAAGCGGTTTGTGATAACGTGCAATGAGGCTTTAACAGCGTCCTGGAGGAATTTTGGCCCACTCATCTTTGCAGAATTGTCCTAATTCAGTTACATTAGAGGGTTTTCGAGCATGAACGGCCTTTTTTAGGCGTCATACCACAACATCTCAATAGGATTCGGTTCAGGACTTTGGCTAGGCCACTCCAAAGTCTTCATTTTGTTTTTCTTCAGCCATTCGGTGGTGGACTTGCTGGTGTGTTTAGGATCATTGTCCTGCTGCAGAACCCAAGTTCGTTTCAGCTTGAGTACACGAACAGATGGTCGGACATTCTCCTTCAGGATCTCTTGGTAAACAGCAGAATTCATAGTTCCTTTTATCACGGCAAGTCTTCCAGGTCCTGAAGCAGCAAAAGAACCCCAGACCATCACACTACCACCACCATATTTTTCTGTTGGTATAATGTTCTTTTTTTAGAAATGCAGTGTTCCTTCTACGAGATATACTTGGACACACACCTTCCAAAGAGTTCCACTTTTGTCTCATCGGTCCACAGAATGTTGTCCCAAAAGTCTTGGGGATCATCAAGTTTGTGTGTGGAGAAAGTTGAGATGAGCTTTGATGGTCTTTTTGCTCAGCAGTGGTTTTTCCTGGAAACTCTGCCATGCAGGCCATTTTTGCCCGGTCTTTTCCTGATGGTGGAGGCATGAACGCTGACCTTAACTGAGGCAAGTGAGGCCTGCAGTTCTTTGACGTTGTTGTGGGGTCTTTTGTGACCTCTTGAATGAGTGCGGTCGCGCGCTCTTGGGGTAATTTTGGGCGGCGGCCACTCCTGGGAAGGTTCACCACTGTTCCATGTCTTCGCCATTTGTGGATAATGGCTCTCACTGTGGTTCGCTGGATTCCCAAAGCTTTGGAAATGGCTTTATAACCCTTTCCAGACTGATAGATCTCAATTACTTTCTTTCTCAATTGTTCCTGAGTTTCTTTGGGTCTCGGCATGATGTGTAGCTTTTAAGGATCTTCTGATGGACCTTACTGTGTCAAGCAGCTCCTATTTAAGTGATGCCTCGATTGTGAACAGGTGTGGCAATAATCAGGCCTGGGTGTGGCTAGAGAAATTGAACTCAGGTGTGGACAACCACAGTTATAGCATGTTTTAACAAGGGGGGCAATCACTTTTTCACACAGGGCCATGATGGTTTGGATTTTTTTTCACCTTTAATAATAAACACTTTCATTTACAAATTGCATTTTGTGTTTACTTGTGTTGTCCTTGACTATTGTTTAAATTGGTTTGATGTTCCGAAACACTTAAGTGTGACAAACATGCAAAGGAACAGGAAATGAGGAAGGGGGCAAACACTTTTTCACACCACTGTAACTCATGCCCACGGTTAAATATGGTGGATTTTCTTTGATGTTTGAGACTGTTTTCCTGCCAGAGAACCTGGACATTTTGTTAGGATACATGGCATCATGGACTCTATCAAATATCAACAGATATTAGATGAAAACCTGACTGCCTCTGCCAGAAAACTTCAAATGGGCCGTTGTTGGATCTTCCAGCAGGACAATGATCCAAAACATACATCAAAATCAACACAAAAATGGTTTACTGACCACAAAATCAAGATCCTGCCATGACCATCCCAGTCCCCTGAACTGAACCCCATACAAAACCTGTGGCGTGAACTGAAGAGGAGAGTCCACCAATGTGAACCTCAAAATCTGGAGAGATTCTGTATGGAGGAACAGTCTCAGATCTCTTGCCATGTATTCTCCAACCTCATCAGGTATTATAGGAGAAAACTCAGAGCTTATGGAAGGACAATGCTATAGGAATAGAGACAAGAATGTTTTCACGCTTTTGAGAGTGTAAAATAAAAGTGTGACTAAAAGTGTGCCAATAATTGTTGCACACCTATATTTAACAAATATATATATTTTTTTGGATAACCCCATGCTTTGTTGCCAATTGTTTGACATCGATGACAGCAGATTTATTTAAACAAAAAATTAAACAATAAAGACAGGTTTTCACAGCTCACATTTACCAAGGGTGCCAATATTAATGGAGGGCACTGTAGCTTTAGATAACTTTAGATTTATTTTTTCTTAAATAGCTTGCTTACAGTACATTACATATTATCTCTCTACAATCTATAAAATATTTTGGATATATACTGTTGCTTCGTAATGCACGTGATGAGATTAATGAATAAGAGTAGCAGTATTTACAGTGTACATATGCAATACTTCGTTCACGGGAATTGAAAATGATCTTTTACACACTTGTATGGTGACGATGCGGGGCAGAGGCTGGCGTGTGTTGGCTCCTCCTTCAATAGCGATACCCAGAGTGCTGGCGCTCTTCGGCACTCGCACCAGAGTTGACATGGGCTCCAGCAGACCGGGCTGTCAGAGTCACGGCCGTACACAGAGAGAAACAGAAAGATGAGAACAGTAGGAATTGGGAAAGTTCTGCAAGACAGAGACACAAACGCATACGCGTTCGGCTGTCATGACTGTCTTTGCCTCCTGAGACTTGACAACCGAACATTAAAAAAAACAAAACAAATCCCATTCACGACCATTTCAAAAGGCGACAACCTGTACTTCTACCACAGCCTCTGTAAAGCAGTATTCTCTGTGTATACACATAAAGCAGAACTTGCTTTCAGTGCAATGAGATCGTTGTTTGTTTGTTTTTTAATGGAAGATGAAATGAAAACAAAAGGAAGTGAATGAGAAACAAATATAAAGCATGATATTTCAACTCATATTTTAAATCACAGCTCACTCTCACACACACACACACACATCCTTACGCAATACTGCAGCTCACACATCCATCTATTTTCTCTTTTAGACTTTTTTTTCTCGCTCAGATGCGAGTTGTCTCACTCTCTCTCTCTGTTTCTCTCGGTCTCACCGGTTTCACGGCGCTCCCCTCCCCTCCCCCTGCACTCTCTCTCAGTGGCCGAGTTCGGGCAGGACGTGGACTGCTCTCCTTGCTCAGGCGTCCTGACTCTGCGATGTCCACGCCGCTGTCCTCGCTCAGCGTCTGTCCACTGTCGGAGAGCTGAGACAGAGTGGATCCTGCAGCGCAGACACGTACACGTCAGTCATTTTGTACTATAAAGTAGAAGGATTCATTTGTTTATGGTACGTCCTCTTATTTTGTCACCGAAATGGATGCGACATGCAGTATAGCAGAGAGTCAAAGACAGGGCTGTAGCTGGGAGAAACATAAATTTATCATCATAATAATCAACATGTCAACACATCAACATTGACCGCTGTTGCTATGGTGATATGGAGTTTGTTCTCATTACATAAGTGTTTTAATAATATGTTCTAGGCTGATACCGAGACAGAAAAGTTTGCATTGTGTTTAATTATTTATGCTTTTTTTTTGTAGAGGACAGGGCTGTATTTAATACATATATTATTTAAATCAGCAGTCTGAATCATTTACAGCAGAGTTTATGCGATGCTTTGCACTTCAATGTAAGTACACTGCTAAGTTATCAACGAGGAAAAGAAGGTGCTAAGCAAGGAA